TCTCTCTCTCTCTCTCTCTCTCTCTCTCTCTCTTCTCTCTCTCTCTATCTCTCTCTTCTCTCTCGCATATGTGGACTTCTCTGTTGATTACAAATGGTGGAAAAACATCCCCATTTTAATGAATCTTTAACCGGCTAACCGGCATTGCAAAGAATTCGCCTTTCCGACACTGCATCTTGATAAAAACGGATAATAAGGTGACTTAATAACAACGTTCAGAACTTAGAGTGTCGACTGTCGAGTTATAAACATAGTTTAGCTATTTTTATAGAAATTGAACGCCTCTACAGAGGCGCCATCATTTATAAAACATCAGCAATATTGCTGCCAGTCGTCTCATCCATGTAGCTGCTGCTAGCATCTTTCTCTGAACAATTCAGCTCCGCGGTATGGAACAATAGATCCATGTTTTGGAGGATCACTGCGGCAGACGAGGGCCTGTTTGCTGACGTCACAAGAGGTTCTGTGTGACGTCACAAGTGGCCTGGTGTGACGTCACGAGCTGGAGCCGCTCACGACATCCACACCGCGCGTGACTCACGAGTGCGCCGGAGCAGCTGGAGCTGTACCAGCTGGCACGCGTCGCTGTCGACGGCTGGAGTCGCTCTCCAGGCCGACGGTCACTCGCGCGTGGGATGGCGGGAGGGGAGAGAGGGAGAGAGAGAGGAAGAGGAGAGGAAAGAGAAGAATAAAGGGAGAGAGAGGACAGGAGAGAGGAAAAGAGAGAAGGGAGAGAGAGAGAGAGAAGGGAGGGAAAGAGATAGAGAGATGAGAGAGAGAGAGAGAGAGAGAGAGAGAGAGAGAGGAGAGAGAGAGAGAGAGAGAGAGAGAGAGAGGAGAGAGAGAGAGAGAGAGAGAGAGAGAGAGAGAGAGAGAGAGAGAGAGAGAGAGAGAGAGAGAGAGAGAGAGAGAGAGAGAGAGAGAGAGAGAGAGAGAGAGAGAGATGACCGTTGATGTTGGTATTTATTTATCCCCTGGGATGGTCCTGGGACATCCCTGGCTCAACAGGGAAGAAGCTCACCCGGAATTTAGAGTCAATACACTGAGACATTGTCGCCGAAATAGTGTCCTCCTCTGAATGCTGACCTGCTAACCTCCAGGCAAGGTTTAAATGTATGACTACTATTTGCCAGCATTAATTAACTGTTCCTTGTACTATTATAGTTATATCTATCTTGATGCTTCAAAGGAGAGAAAATAAAACAAAGCTCCAACGGATATCCACCAGCAATTATTCAATGTGACACACTATTCTTTATATGCATCCTGTTATCTTTTATATTTGAATCGGTGCTAAAAAAAATGATGTCACTTACGAGGTTTAGGTTCCATCGCGCATGATATCATAAATTTAACACGGAATTACGCCTACATACCTACTCAATCAACAAATCCAGATGCAATTTTCAACTTTGACGACAAGCTCCAATAATTTTTTACCCTTGACTTTCCAAAGCAAATGCTCCAACTCTTACGAGAAAAAATAATATGCTTATAATCGCCATGCTGCTCACCATGGATAATAAGAAAATACTTTCCAGCATGTTATCATTTGTGAGTGCATAAAACAAGTGATGCAGAATCACTTTTCGAACAATGCTGATCAACTGTTGACTGTGCCACAAGTCCACAATCCCCACATTTCCATCAAGAACACAATTTAAACCCGTCACAGCACACAAACACGACTTTTTTGCACATCCATGAATCAGTATAAATTGTTTTGCTAAGGATCCGCTCGTCCAGTCCCATCAGCAAGACAATCCAAACCCGCCACAGAACACAAACATTTCGGTGACGTTTTCGAAACAATCGCTTACAGTCCACCAGTGCGTAAACACCACACGCAGCTGGCAAACACTGCCAGTGACTCACCTTGTTATCACAGTGTCCGTTTCGGCCTCTGCACACAGTTCTGGATCACGCGGCAGGTGTAGCACTGAGAGCGTCTCAGCTCCTCGCCACAGAGCGATGAGGTCGGGTCAGGTTCCGACCATCAGCCGTCCGTTGTCGGCCATCGCCATGACTCCCGGTAACCCCACCACCCTGTCACACGTCACCCTGCGCACATTAGCTCACAAGTCAGCACATCACAAACCTGCACCAGCCCTCGCCAATCGGGGCAATGTCAGCACAATACACTAGCCTACGTCTCTCCGGGCACCACGGTCACATCACCATCCCACGCCAGTCAGAGCACCATCGTCGCACCACTGCCATCTGAGCCCCGCATCACCTCGGACCGATCGACAAGCGTCGGAGCGTGCCGCGCCACCTCCGACGGCCCTCCGCGGCGGTACTGAGCGCCGCCGCCGCCGGCGGCGCCCGCCCCTCGTCGTTCGCGACGCACCTGAGCGCCGCGACCGACGGCCGCGGTCATGCCGTCGGCGGTCGCCCACTGCAGCGCGACTCCCGCTGACTGGCCCCGAGCGTCTGCCACATCGATTTCAGATGGGTGGTGTGTGTCTCGGCAGACAGGCGGCAGTTGTAATGGATTATACCGGTCCCAGGCATACAACAGCTAATGGTGTTTATTCACGGACTTCCAGTAAAGGAAAAAAGCTAGGACGCTTCCAGATGGCTATTTGTTCGTACAAGGGCATAACATCAAAACGGTCCATTGATGTATGTCCGCCTGGTTACACCTAACGTAAAAAAATGAAATCAGCTGCGATTGCTTTTATTGGATTTTATATCCGTAGGGAATTGGTGTACCGATTTCGGAAATTGAACAGATTTATGCATTGCGTGAGTAGTTTTCAGTCCCTGCTCCTTTGCCACACATTTTCACAGATGAAGACACATCAAACCAGCTTCAAAACTTCTTTCCAGTTGCAATATCAGCTCTCTGTGAGATTTGAGAACCGATCAACAATATGAGTCTGCATTTGATGGTCGATGAAAAGCCTTGAGAAGGACTCGACTCAGCAGGGCTCTACGCTTGCATGATGCGTTGCAATAGCGTGTTGCTTCTTGTCAGTGATTATTACGCAAATCAGTAATATCGTGAACCAATTTACATTGACTGGTGATAAAACATATACCTACCAAAGTCAGCAAAAATATTTGCGTGGAAGATGAGGGGCTCATTGTTAACGCTGTCATATACCTAGTATGTTTATACGAAATGTTACCATTATAAATTGTAAATGTCTGCGAAATGTTAATGTATTCTCTGCCTAAGGACCTCTAAAACCATGCCGATATTACTATGTGTGATATATCCCGGCAGTTGCTGGGGTATTTCGCCACCCACCGTTTGCTGGGGGGGGGGGCGTTAAACGCCCCCAGCCGATAACTCGAGAACCAATAGGCGCAGCGAAACGCACGAGGCGGCAAACGGAAGAACGCGACGAGACGCTTCAGATGAGTACTTTAAAGTTGAATTTTGAGGTCACAGGTCGGGTCAAGGTCAGGTTAAACACCTGAAATCGGGCTTTCAGTAGCATGGACTTCAGGACTTCGCAATGGGCGCCTCTCGTCATAAACTCTGTCAAAACGGTGCACAATCCATCATATAAGGCCTACAAGAGTGTCAGCTCCATGTAGGGGTCAGTCAAGCATAGGTCAGGGTCAAGGTCAGGTCAACCGGGTAGGCACATATCCCCGAAAATCAAAACTGATATTCGCAGCCCGTGACACATGTTTTATGGGTAATTTGGGGCGTAGAACACGATGGTGACATTCATGTTATCATATGTGTACGTGTTTGGCTCAAAAAGTTCAATCTAAGAAATGCATGTATCATGGTCGTCAAGTGGTCACGAGAAATTGCCAAGTTTCAGTTCAAGAATTTGGAAAATGCGGAACAATAATCAATAATCGAAGATAGCCATTTGATTGTTCATGGTATTGGCAGTCTAATGGCGTTTACGGCATGTCTGTATGTTTATTCTGTGATTTTATATGATTTTTTGAACATATGCCGTTTTTGGTCGAAAACTCAGAAATCATGACGTCACTAAAACCTCGATATCTCAAAATTTGTCCGACCGATTTTTTTTGAAACTTTGCCACAATAAACTTCAATTAATTCCCTACAGGTACCCACAATTTGGCGCGCCGCAGGCGCGCCGTTTTTATACTATGGCCCGGCGAAAAAAGTGGGGGCGTTTAACGCCCCCCCCCCCCAGCAACTCGCGGGATATGTGGCAAACCGGGCAGTAATTAGCAAACTCAACTCTATTCAGAAGTGGTATTATTCGAGAGGCGCTCTAGACTCCAATTCCGTGCGCACAATGATCTGTGCATATGCTGAAAAGGCGAAAGCTACTGATAGGATGTCGAATAAGCAGTCCATTTACCAACCGAATGCGTTTATCAATTAATTATCTAGCAACTACTTCCGCAACAATGCCTATCACTAATAGAACGAATTCTGCCTTGCATTGACAACCCTGATGCACACCGTGCTACAGTACGGCATTGTCCTGGTATTAATCCCTGGATAGCGACAGCGATTTCGCTCTGATTCCGCTTTACCCGGAGCTCTACTTAGGGGTGGACATTTTGCAGATTGACTCTGTCAAAGTCTGTTTTGTCGACAGTTGCCAGGCAGCAGCGCGCTGAGAAAGTGCTCCCTAGTCACCTCTCGGCGGGATATTCCCGAGTGGCATTGATCGGAACGTGCTGATTGGAAATGGCGGCCCGGATATTGGTCATAAATAGGAGCGATGCGAACGGAACATCAGAGGTACTCGGACTATGCTGGTCACGAAATTATGCTATTTCATTAGCCTATGATCCATGCCAGTGAATTATCGGATTTTCAAAACAGTTTCTTTTTAGGTCTTGTCCATTTTGAAATATCATTGATAACGCTTTCTTTGAAGCTCCGCAAATTGTTGGCGTATTCACGAAGATCAAGCATCAAACCTCTATCAAGTCTAAAAGGATATCACAACATAACTTCGCCCAAACCAGTAAAGATTTGATATAGTAACCACATTTTCTGAAGATGGGTGAATTCTTCCTTCACGATTACACTCACGTTCAGGATGATGAGTTTGCCAAAGAGTTGATGGGAAAGTTTGACAAATTCGATTGCCGCTTCAAGGCAATACATCCAGAAAAGCCGGTGTCAATGGACCCTGAGGTTACCTACTTTGGCAACCGCAAGAAAAAACAAGACTTTTTGTAAGTAGAACACTGCATATTGCCTCACACGTGTGATGGTCACTGATAGCCTGATAGGTACCGCTCACTCTGTTCGAAGGAACCAATAAGTCATTCCGCGGTACGACGATTGTTACACTTTCGGAGTCCCGCTTTTTTTAAAAGCATTGCGAATTGGTCATGCTTATTGCTTATCATCATATAACCGGCGGTTTAATGTTTATACTTTATCGTTCAGTGATGAGCACGGGATTATGGTCTAGATGACCATCCCCCACTGCCGGCAGATGTCAGTACGACCAGGTGTACCGGCAGAAGAGCACGTGGAACCAGCGACTGCATAGAGAGGACGCGCAATACAAACTGGCTGCCGTTCACATGTGGCGAGAGGAGGCCGACCGGACGGTGCCCGCACTGGGCAGCAGTCTGTACGGCCACCGGCCGGCCATCGACGCCAAAAAGACCACCAACAGTCAGCGTATCCACGTAGTGGAGCAGGAGTTCCGCCGACCGCGCAACGTCTTCCCCGGCGACGGACTGTAGAGAGGAGGCGCTGCATGGTGGGTGGTGGATGCAGCGGCGTAAACGGAGGACGAACGGATGTAATAGAGCGGATGTAACGGAACGAGTGTAAAGGAACGGGTGTAACGAAACGGGTGTAACAAAACGATTGTAATAGAACAGCTGACACGGACCGAGTGTAACATCCTGATTGTAAAGAAACTAGTGTCGTGGAACGGATGCAACAGACAATAGGTGTGATAGAATAGCTGAAACGGACCGGATGTAACGGATCGCGGGTGTAATAGGTCAATGGCAGAAACCGATGGCCATGCACCTAGTCCATAACAAGATTGCACACATAGTAGTGCATTTGGAGTGGGACCCACCGTATAAATTTGAAGCATTGATAATGTCTATGGGCTTTGTTTTATATTATTCAACAACATAAACTTAATTATTTCAAAAGATCGCCAAAGGGCGAGCACATTGAAAGGCATAGTCAAGACTCACAGCAGGGGCATGCGAATGCAATCATGCGCATGGTAAACGAAACACTGAATAATGTATTGGCTTTCCATCATTGATGTTTGTAGTTTAGTATCCTCTAAGGAGCGACTTGCACATCGATGGCAGATAAGTTAATCATATTTTTAACCCGCGCCGTGCTGGTGGCCTGTGTTTTCCGTTTCGTGCTGGGGGGACGTTTTCATGTCGCCCCCTTCTAACTCGGCTCCTGGGCCACGTAGCGACACGCGGTATAGTATAGGCGGCAATTGAAAGAGCGTCAAAAATAATGGCGGAAACACTCGGGTTAAATTTTTTAGCTCAGGTCAAAGGTCAGGCCACCAGAGGTCATCAAAGGTCAAATTTAGTCAATTTCAACAATTTTGGAAACTGCCGGCGGCTAGCTCGGGAACCAATAGAGCTACAGCGCCGCGGAAAATGCATTCGATAGCCCTTTTACAGACCTTTCTGGATATTGTACACAGATTTGACCTCAGGTCAACGGTCTAGCCTCCAGAGGGCAAAAACTCTAAAAATAGCCGTTTTCCAAAAAAGTTTTTCGGTAATAACTTTTTCCTTAGGGGAGCCACGACATTACTTTTGCTCGCATCGTGTTCCTCTCGTCGAGACGCGTCGAATGTCGAATGTCGAGGCGCGTTGAAAATTTGACCTCAGGTCAAGGTCATGACCTGACCGGAAAGGGCCATGTTGCATATCAGTCGACCCGTATCGTCGAGCTGAACACATCTGACGTGTTTTCACCGTTCTAGCACGTCTCTATCAACAGTTATAGCCAAATAACTGCTGGTGACCGTTCATGACCTGAGATGACCACCTCAGAGGCACACAGAGGGGTCACAAGTGTATTTATCCGATTCAATCTGTCATGTTTACCTATGAATCGATGTTTGAGAGGGTTTTGAACGACATTTGACCAAAAGAGGCACATTTCAATCTTGTCCCGTTGACTTATACATAATAGAGAGGCTGCAAATTTGACCTAACCTTAGGTCACACATATAAAAATCCGACATATACATTTTGTACACATTGCTATTCTCATCAATCACTGAAACTTTCAAAGTGATTGCTTGGTCGGTGTAGCTGTAACGAGCCTTTGAACTTAGACTCGTTACAGCTACAGAGGCTCGTTACAGCTGTAGCTGTAACGGTAAGGTCACTGGACGTGACCTGACCTTGAAGAACCGGGTCTAAAATTTTCACAACATGTGTGCCAAAGATGTATGAGCAGGTGTACCAAAAATGGCGGCGCGTAGCGCCGCCGTTTTCGAGATCGAAAACCCTGAGGGGTGACGTAAAAACGCGCCCAGCACGGCGCGGGTTAATAAAGTTTTATCATTTTCAAGTGGAATTTGGGCCTCAACTGTGGCCGAACTAGCAACGCGCCACCCTTGCATTGTACTAACTCAACCCCTGCCAATATTGGCTAGGGTGTCTTTCATTATATTGCGTAGATCATGTGAGGATCAAGAGTCCAAGACCTTGGTAAATACGTAAGTACATGTATTTGTATGATTTAACTTCTAGACTTGTATTGCTATGGTAGGACAATGGGCATTGTGCTAGGCTATACTCGTAAAAGTGTTGATATTAGCCTGAAAGACATCTTCTGAATAAATAATTGTTTTCTGTGTTACACAGCCAAAAAGAGTCGCATAAGTCGAAGTTTGACGTTACAGCAGCCCTGCCTCCTGTCGGGCTGAGTAAAGACTCCACCAATCGCTTTTAGCAAACGATGTTCCGCACGCCATGCCAGCATTTCCAGAGCACCGTGTTTCCTGCCAAGAGTGTGCGTGCACTGGTCAAGCGGTCAATAGCATTGACCACAGCTGTGAGCGACGGGTGGCGAAGGATAAGTCGTTTTTTCCACGCCGCAACACCGTGCCGGAATCTATACACTAGCAGCAGTAACAACTTATGTAAAAACTGTGATTTTGCCATATGTAGCTGACGGTCTTATTAGCCAATTCCAGGGTAAGCGTCTCCCGGATGTACTCACAAATAGTTTGTCTTTGTGTCGTTTCAGTTATTATCATATTTGAATACCACAGCCTATGATAACTGTTATTGGTAATATGCATATACCATACAATGAAAAGCGAATAAAAAAAGCCGGAGTTAAAACTAAGTGTAGTGTTTGCAATGCAGTGACTTTTCGCAGTACCTAATTATCTTGCATATTACTCGTATTCATAGGCAGAGATAAAACACCAAGCTGACAAAAAAAAAAAAAATAAGAGATGAAACCAAGGCCCTAAAACTACGGTAAAATGTATTTCAAGATTGCAGACTTGTAGACATATAAACATGACTGTAGAAAGACCGGGGCTCATCGGTGCACGTGGTTCGCAGCAATCCATCCAAAATTTCCATCCATGCAAATTCAGCAAAGTCCCATTTTCAATGTGTTTGCTTTTCAGGGAGTAGGGAAATAATAGGGGGATAGGGGGTCATGCGTTATTTTCAGGGATTACATCATTAGATAAAATTTATAGCATGAAGGGCATCGGGTCAACTAAATTCGACATCGCATACTAATTTCAAGGAACATCTGTAGGAATACTTTACTCCAACGACTTCCTTAAAAACTGAAAATGAGTCAACCAATTAAACTACCCCCTGACGAACGTATTTGGCCATTAAAACCGGAGGTTTTGCTTGCCAGAGGAAAAGGAGAGCTGCAAGGTAAGTGATGACAATGACCAGGTATACAAGGTAAGTGATAAGTGACAAAAACTAGCTACATTGTTCGCATGCTATGGAGCATGATGCGTATGAAGTTGTTAGCCGCTGTGTTTTTTGGGTCTTCTGGAAATAATCCTGGGAATTTAGGCATAGGCACCAATTTTCCCGTGATTGAAAGGATCTCCAGAGATTTGTCGGGAATGAAGTAAGGCTATTTAAGAAAAAACAACAGCAAAACATCTATCAATTATTTTAGTGAACATATGATCATGGTAAAAACAGCTGATTGTAAATCAGAACAGCGCGAGCGGCACAGTGTGACCTTTGAAAAATTATCATGAGCGCCCGCCACCCCCACTCCCACCTCCACCACCACCACCGTCCACCACCACCACCATGGTAGCCTATCCTCAGAACTGTATGATACCATTTATGTAAGGACGTATTTTCATGTATATTGGCAGCCAAGGAAGAAAAGGCCGTTCGTGGTGCTGTAAAAGAAGCTGTGGCCACTTACAAAAATGAAATTGTTTCGCTCGTGGAGAACAACATGGAGGACAGGAAGCGCGCTGCCAAAATGCTGGTCAAGTCGGCGGAGGAAGCCGAAGAAATTCTAGTTAGGGAGTGCACTTATGACAAAAATAAGCGGCTGAAGTATCGTGGAAAATGTGCAATAGTGAGTATCAATGTCATTGCTTCACTTCTAATGATCGATGTCATTCATGATTTGGCCACGCATGAAATGTCAAAGCTGGCAAACAGACGTAAGGTTAATATTTTTTATTGAGTCTTTTGCGGTACTGACTGTCTAGTGGCTTATATACTCTTTCAATATCTTGGATTAGAGCTATCAGAAACACATTCTCAAGCGTATAAATTTCGTCCATGTTCACTCGACTTCCTTCGTAAAACTTTTTTCAGGAAACATCTGAAAACATCGACCAAGAAATTGCTAAGCTGAACAACGTTCTTAACGACATCTCAAACAAGCGGAAACAACGAACAAAAACACTTCTGGATCAACAAGTAAGTTATCGAACTAGTTCTGGTAATTGAGCACGACTGTTCGCTTTGTCAAAAACCACACATTCCATTAATTGGGCCTGACGATAAGAAATTGTTTTTCTTTTTACTCGATGTAGTGCCTGGAGCGTTATATAATTTACCTAGCGCAGCCGGTCCAATTATTTTAGCTGGAAGCAGCAACAGAAGTGCTTCTCTCTCACTTTCTGCGCTCCTCTAACACACAGACGCTTATGTTTCTCAAAGAGCCCTTGCCGGCTCTAAGCGTCAAGGGACTACCTATACGATGCTCAGCTGCCACCAGTTAGAACCATGCCCCTGAAGCAGGCGGGCTATTCAATGTGAAACACCTCGGCGTTGCCTGCACGACGGCGCCGTAAGACACAATCCACTGTTGACGGACGCTGTGAGGTTCTCATTTGCGCTGTTAGATCGCCTATTCATTACCACCATAAAACTTTGAACTTGTTGAGCATTTGTAGCTTATTTTCGAAAGTTCCTTTCTCTTGTGCACGGCCACCCGAGCGTTATGACCGTGCCGTCATACGATGCAGTTAAGTACGATCTACATGTGAATCTACATGTGAGTGAATCTCTTTCCCCGGCCTCTGCCCGTCTAATCGCCGCCCTGTGCCCATCCAATCGGCCATTGAGTGCGATTGAGACTGCCCCGTCAGCCGTCATCGAACTGGCAGTTGCCGAGCGGGGCAGAGCTGTAACAGCTTGACGAGTCCCCTGTGTTACATTGCCACAACCATCCATCGTCTGACAGCGTTGGCGATCGCTGGAGGGTCTGCGACGCTCACCGGTCACCGATCGCCGGCTGACCGTCCCTCGGTGGGGGGGGGGGGAGGGAGGGGGAGTGGTTTCTTCTGTTACCAACCGGCGCGGCAAGGCAGTGAGTGGATGGTGAACGGCGCAGACGTCTCCTGTGGGACCAGTTCTATATCAGGAT